AGTAGTTAGTTTAATTACCTAGTTGCTTAGAAAGCCTAATTCTATTAATTAGTTAGTAAGGTGATAAGACCCTTAAATAATCACAAAAAGTAGGATATATTATCCCTTTGAATTAATGCACTTAATAACTATAGCCTATTTATAGTTGCTGGGCTGGATAGATTTCACTTTTTTATATCTATTAGTATATATAATAACTATTAAACTAGTAATAACACTTATTATAAAGCTAGTCTTATTGAAGTTATATAGATCCTTATTATTAATATTATATTTAGCTATTATATTGCCTAATAATATAAACCACTTTGAAATAACCTCTAGGTCCTCTTAAAGTGCCTTTTAATAATTATATAGATAATTAAATATAGTCTTTAGAGTTAGCTATAAGTTAATAAACCTCTTAGCCTAATGCTTCTTAATAGGCTGTCACAGGCTAGAGCCTGGATTGATATCTCCAGCTTCACCGGAGCAGTTACCAAGATCCAGCTCCATTGGACCCACTATTCTGCCGCAGTACGCCGCCTAACCCAGCCTGCTTCACCGCTGTTAGGTGCCTACCCTTATAAAGTCCTTTCTTCCTTCTTCAGCTTAGAATAGTCAATCGACAGCACCTCTACGTTGAACAAGCCTAGGGGGCCAGCCCCTTACATAGGCGTCCGATTCTATATCTGCAGCAGGAGATTTGCTATATCTTCTATATTAGTAAGTTATAAGGGAAATCCTTTAAAATCCTACTTAATAATATATTAGAGAAGTGTTTTCTCTTTAATTAGATTAAGTTTATATTATTAAGGCTAGATATAGTTGCAGTATAGCTAATTATTTATTCTGTTGCATAAAGTATCTTTAGGGATACTATATATCTTTATAGCGCCTTACGTACTAAGTTTATGACCTAGAGCATGTGTCGATCGGATCGCCTCAATAGCAAGAATGATCTTATCTTCTTGGGTGTAAATCGGCATTGCGGTTGTTGAGATATTACGCGTCAAAGGTTTAAGTGGCTGGGAACAAAGCGCGTCATGGAAAAAGTGCGCGGCTGACTGATATGCGCAGCTGACTAGTAAAGTATGTTATCTATAAGAATAAATATTAAGTTAATTACTAAAGAGCTATAGAAGTCTAACTATAAGCTAAGCTTAAGGTTATACTATATATAAGTTCTAAATAGTATCCTTTATCTACTTTTAGGGTGATCACCTAAATATATAAGGTGATTACAATCAGTTAGCAAGACTAACTAATCACTAAGCGTTTCCTCTTATACTCCACTAATCGTTTTCTTATCTTATCGTCATATAACTTATACTATAGTTCTTCTGTTCTAAGTAAGTCCCTATTATTCCTATGATCCTGTAGTATAAATGTCCTGTCCTAGCCGCCTAACGTCCAAGTGGGTCGGTTATCTGTTATCCTTGTTCTCAGGTCGTAACATAACAGCGTCCGCCCCCTAATTTTCAGCCTAAAAAAGGCAAAAAAGGGGCTTTTTACTAAAAACCACTAAATTACCCTAACTTCACACTTTACGTAATACGCGTAGTTAAAAATTTAATTAATAAGTCTACTAATTAAAAACTATTTAATAATATTTTCTTTATTTACGCGTACTACGTATATATAAAGTTATAAAAGTGTGAAGTTTAGGTCGATTTAAGGGGTTTTTAGGGCGGATACTATAGATACTATATATAAGAGGTTTCTTTTTTTCTTTTTAGTGTTATATCTAATATCTACTAGCTTAAACCCCCCCTAAAACCTCCTAAACTTCACACCTTTATAACTCTATACGTATATAGTACGCGTGAATAAAAAATATATTATTAGATAGCCTTTAACTAGTAAACTAATTAATCAAACTTTTAGCTACGTGCATTGTATATGTATAGAGTTATAAAGGTGTGAAGTTTAGGGGGTTTTAGGGGGGGTTTAGGCTAGCGGAAAATTTTCCTTCCGGGTCAAAGTTAGGGGCGGACGCTGTTACCGCAACGGACTGTAGGAGGAACCGCGCGCTAGAGCCAGATTGGGCTTAGTCAGTCTCCATCTTTCAACGACTTCCTTCTGAATCCCTGTTTGCCGGTGGACCTCACGCAGGTGGAGGAACCAAGGGTTAGATCCTGAGAAGACCGAGAACACACGTTTTTAGTCCCTCTTTCTGTGTTCCCCTGCATGAAAAGGCTCCCCGGGCTAGGCGGGCTGAGTCCTGCGTCTTGGCAAATTCCTGCCCAAACCCGACTCCTAACTGACTTTGGTGTAAGTGAGATCTGATAACACTAATCTGGCATAGTAACAAGACGGGTAAGCAGGCTGGCCCGTTAATAACCACAACTCCTTTGTACCTGCATCGAAAACAAAGGCTCCAGTCTTGTCAGAGAAGTAGGTGAGTTGTTGCCTAGGTAGCTTCCTGCATGTCCAGTAAATGCCTCGGAATGGAGAATGTGCAAGTGCCTTCCAGGGATGTTCTCATCTGATTTTGCATCCACATCTGGTAGTGTCGCCAGAAGGCCCTCGCATTAGCTCGATTCATATCGCAAGTAGACATGGGATTGAAATCCAGCAGGATGAAAAGCAATTTCGCCGCCAAATTCGATGGTATACACCCCTCGAGCCTGCTTTTGACCGAGGCTAATTAACAGAGCTGCAGACAGTGGCCGAAAGGAGGAAATGCCCGAATACATGACACCAGCGTTTTATCTTGACATTGGAAGCTAGATTTATGTGTTAGCTGAAAGGGAAGTAAGTACACCATACTTGCATGATGATCATTATTGGAAGAAACATTAGTTGGAATTTGGCGAAAACAATTAGAATACAACCAACAAAATGACGATCATATTTGCAAAGATGAACAAATGTCAAGAGTCATGATAGAAGCGGAGTAAAAAGTTGACTTCCGCCCAAACACGATATGCTTTTTGACCAAGCCATTATATGTTGAAGACAAAAGGACACTAGCTAATATTGTTCAAAAGAAAGTTGAATGATGGAAGCGCCACACGAATTGTAACCTGCGGACAGGTGTCGCAGGACACACAATCATTATTGAATGGCAGGAAACCTTCAAACACACTTGCTCAACTCTGCAACGGTCATCTTCGACTTCACCAGCCCAGCGTTCCAAGTCTTTACCGATCGAAAGTGGCTCTTGTTTAGTTCAGACCAGTCCTGAGGTTGCGTTTTGTCGGGGTTTCCCAAGTCATTGGTCCAGTTCGCAAGGTCATCCGCGGTTTTAAAGCCTTTAGCCTGCAGTCCTTCGCGTGTCTTGGTGTCGGCCCAGGCGTTGGCCATTCTTTGTGCGATGTTGATATTTTGGTAAGGTTTGCCATTTTGTACCTTTGAAGGCGCGTTGCTCTCCACGACGATTTTGTCTTTGGGTATGCCGAGGCCTTTGCGCTTCTCATCGGCCACGCCATCCTGCAACTACTTGTAGATATGGTTGAGCTTGTCTTCGGCGCGGAGAGTGGTAATACTCTCAAGAAGCTCCTTGCCCAAGTTATTGTTCTTCTCTATGACGGCTTTGAATTTGGGATCGTCCTTGCTGCGGAAGTCTTGAAATTGCTTCTCGACGCGCTCCGAAAAGTACGAGTAGGCCGAGTTGAAGGGGTCGTCTTTGTTGTACAAAGAGGGGTTTCCTCCTCTCTTGGGCTTGTAGTCGGCTGAGAACTGTTTGTTGTCCAGCGTCGTGTCGAATTCCGTCACTTGCAGCTGCTTATTAAGGGTGAAATTTCCATGAGCTGATCAGCGCACCGGTAAGTGGTCGGTGTCTTTCCGTCGACGTCTGACCACGGTGCTTTCAGCTGCTCATACTTGGCTTTGTCCTCGGGCAGCATTTTAGCCCATTCAAGCCCTTCGATGCGAGCTTGGAACTGGCCATACGTGAGCTTGTTATTGGGTCCGCTACCCTTGTTTGCATAACGAGGGAAAGGTGAGGGCTTCCCCTTGCCCGTGTGCTGTGGAAGCATGTACTTTTGCTTGTCGGCGCCCTCGATCTCGCTGTGGCGTAGGTCAGCTGCGAGCTCTTCAACAAGTTTAACGATAGAGCGCATTACCAGAAGGCATCATAGCGAGTCCATAGGTGAATACGTTCGTTTGCATGGGACAAGTAGTTGATCTGTCCCGCAACTGGCACTGGCAGCTCAGCGAAAGCCATAGAAGGCTTATGAAAAGGATTGCACGCAAAAAAGATTGCATTTTGGTAAAGAAAGACTTCAAAGAGTGACAAGAGGCATGAAACGGGGGAAAGCCGAGGAGGGAAAATCAGCAAGTTGCCTTCAGATTTTTGTGCTAGTCAGAGAAGACCGTATCTCCTTCGTTCCCTGAGAATTCGAAGGATCATAATCACAAGCGAGGCACACCATTTCCGGCCTTGCTGATGCTGCAGGTACCGCCTGCAGAAACGGCCCATCGTCGGTGATTACGATCAGGTCACTTAGACAAGTCTGGCCTTTGGTTCACACAGTCAAATGCAACCTCACATCAGCGGCTGATCTTTCAGCCCTGCGGCACAGTCGAACAGTATACGGCAGCCAAGGCCGTCCGGCCTTGCAGGGGGACAAGCTCACTATGTCCCCTGCTTGACGCTCCATGTTCACACTAAGCAATGCCTTCGTGGATCCATTTTCAATCGTCAACAGAAGGGCCGAACCAAAGTCCATTCGGAAAGCAGGCCGCTTTCAGTTAATTATCTACACCAAAGGCGAACTTTGAAGCCTTGGCGTCAGAATCACCAAGTCCAACACAATCTAGACACCAGGAACACGAAAACAGGCTGCAGTGCAACAGCAACAAGGCTTCATCGGAGCCGAGCGAAAATATGCGCTGCGAGTTGCAGGCGTCGACAAACAGCGTGAATTCGAGTTTAGTTAAACACAGTCGACCCTTCCGCTTGGACTTTTCGCCTGCTACCTTCGTTATACAAATCATCTCAATCTCAACTACAGCTTTGCTGGCAATCGTTTGATTTTGGCCTTTTGGTCATATCCACACTCATTTTTATCATCATGAAACCTTTCATTTTTCTTAAGTTTGCTGCGTTGAGCCTTGCTCTCCCCAGCGATGTTACTCGCAATGCCACTGATGGTGTGGCCGAGCCCACATCGTCAGCCATACCCAGCAAGCCAGTGTTGATCCCTGACGACTCAGTCGTCAACAACTCAACCGAGCGGAAGCTCAACCTCGGCGTCAAAGCCATATCGCCCGCATCAGATGTGCAGACCAACACTCCTTGGTCCACACCTCTGATCGATGATTGTCCTAAGCTGTGCAGTGTTGTTGGGCCAGACCCATCTAACTGGACCCGTGTGCAACACGAGGATGATCTTGTACGATGCAAGGCCCCTCTTCTCTTCGATTTCAACTTCCATATTACTGGCAGCGTCAAGACATTTTGAACTTGTGCATTCGAGAAATCGAGGCTTCTCAATCCACTAGTACTGTCCGTCGCTATGTGCCAGTCGAGGCTCGCCAGAACAATGAATCTATTTCAACGTTCTCGCCAGACAACGGGCCAAAGGTCTGCGGGGCATCTGAGTCTACTCTTCAACTGCTTGTGTCGACCAGCCCGACAGGTGTTATATCATCTGGGGCTGACGCTGCTGCCGCCGCCGCGAAGCTGCTAGGGTCTCATCTTGCAGAAACTGCTTCATGTGGCCGTACAATCCTTTTTGCGAGGGTTGATACAGCTATTGTTGCTCTGTATGTCAGCGCCGATGTCGTGACTACTAGTGTCGCCACGTTAGTGATTGATACCTTCGCGACGAGCGTTCAACAAGGCAGCGAGCTGGTCCAGTCATGCGACACAAACAGCCTCAACTCTTATACCATTGGGCTGTTTGCTGTCAATGGACTTGATCAACTTGGAAGAGCACAGAGGGCTATGCAGACTTGGTCCAGTGGTGAGTGTGTTAGAGACCACACCAACAGTTCAAAGTCTTTTGAAGGCGCTGGCGTGCTCGGTGCTAGCGATTTGGTCGTCATCCCCTCCAACTACACGTCGAATTCTACCACAAAGCGTGGGGTCTCCAACTTGACGCCCAGAGCTGTCTGTACCGCTATTGAGGTCGAAAAGGATGATGGTTGTGCTTCACTGGCATCTTGATGTGGTATCAGGGGAGCAGACTTTCTCAAGTACAACACCAAGACCAATCTTTGTGCGAATTTGATTCCTGGCCAACTTGTTTGCTGCTCATCGGGAACTCTTCCAGACAAGACACCGCAGCCACAACCCAACGGCATATGTGCAACCCACAGTATCAGCTTGGGAGACCTCTGCTGGTCTATTGCCGACACCTACGGAATCAGCGAGACGGACCATGAGAAGTATAACGCCAACAGTTGGGGCTGGGCTGGGTGCAACAGTCTAAAACAGGACCAGATCATCTGTATTAGCAAGGGCAACACGCCGATGCCGGTACAACTTCCCGACGTGGCTTGTGGTCCCCAGAAGCTAGGCACGCAGATGCCCTCTGAAACTTATGATGGCTGGGATCTGGCCAAGTTGGATCAATGCCCGTTGAAATCTTGTTGCTCAGGATGGGGGTACTGCGGAACTACGGCCGAGTTCTGCACGGAGTCGCCTGCCGATACTGGAGCGCCTGGGGCCTTCAAGAAGGACACCAGCGGGTGCATTTCCAACTGCGGGATGGAGATCACCAACAACAAGAATCCACCCACTGAGTTCAGACGCATCGGATATTTTCAGGCGTACAACGAAGCTCGAGGATGCCTGACTATGGACGCAAGTCAGATCATGGACATCTACGAGACCTACCCGTTGACACACAGCCATTTTGCTTTTGCCGGTCTCACGCCTGATCTCGACGTCAAGATCGCCGATAACGTCAAAGACCAGTTCGACAAGTTTGTCTCCATGGATGCGCCTTTCAAGAAGATTATTTCTTTCGGCGTTTGGGCCGAGTCTACCGATCCCGCCACCTATCAGTTGTATCGCGACGCTGTTAGTCCGACGAATCGCGAGCGGGTCGCTAGCAATGTGCTTCGCTTTTTGGATGCGAATCCAGGACTTGAAGGTGTCGATCTTGATTGGGAATATCCGGGTGCTGACGACCAGGGCATTCCCAGTAGCGATCCCGTTGATGCTATCTACTACAGTCGCTTCCTGAGCCTCATGCGAGACAAGCTCGGAAAGAATGGTCGCTCGCTCTCGATTGCCATCCCAGCTTCTTACTGGTATCTCAAGCCTTTCCCTGTGAAGGACATGGCAAAGGTGCTCGACTACTTCATCTATATAACGTACGATCTTCATGGACAATGGGGTAAGTCCAAACATTTCACCGCCTACCATCCTCCATTTCTTCTCCATCCCTGTTTTGGGACAACGTTGTTGACGATTATCTCTGATCTGTAGATTACGGAAACAAATATGCCAACCCGGGCTGCGAGAATGCAAACTGTCTGAGATCCCACGTCAATATCACCGAGACCACGAACTCCCTTGTCATGCTTACCAAGGCTGGCGTCTCCGCTGATAAAATCATTGTTGGAGTCACCAGCTATGGTCGAAGCTTCCGCATGGCGGATAAGAGTTGTACAGGACGCAATTGTCTGTTCACAGGCTCCCGAACCGTCTCAGAAGCCGAGCCCGGCATCTGCACAGATGCCGGTGGCTACAGTGAGTGGCCCCTTCAATTTTCATCGTTGTCATCAACTGACCAGTTCTCAATAGTATCCAACGCCGAGCTTGACCAGATTTTCACCTTTGCAGAGGAGGGTGAGCCTGGGTACGAGGCCAAAAGATGGCACGACGGACCCACGAACTCAGATATCATGAACTACGGCACTATGAGGAACGGCATGACGGACTGGGTCGCATACATGAGTGACACTACCAAGTCGACACGTTCGGATTGGATCAAAGGTCTGGACTTTGGCGGCACCACCGACTGGGCCATTGATTTGCTCAACTTTCTCGGCGCACCAGAGGGTCAAGAGGGTGGATTCACTGTCGACGGTGGGGAAAACTTGGAATGCAATTCTGAGACTTGGCCTACGAATCTGGACGATCTCGAGAAGAACATCGATAACGTGCCGCCCCACTGCCGTTCTATGGCGTTGCTCAACGTTTTGATCAGAGACCTTGAGAAGGTGATCGCCGAGTACAGGGATCTCGCAAGCTCGAGTGACTATGACGACAGAGTATGTTCCCCTTTTCACCTGCTTGTCTTGATGATTTTTTTTACTTCACAGCTGGTCATGGACGATAGCTGACTCAAAGTCTCGCAGTACTGGTGGTATGCCGATTGGGTGAAAGACTCAATAAGACGAGCGTCTTGAAGAGTTCTTGAAGATCGGCACTGGAGAAGGATTGAAGTACATGGACTGCGAGTGGAGTTCAAAGGGCAACAGCGGCGAGGGCCCTTGCACTGAAGCCCATCTGTCTTACCCTCCTGGACCTTCGCCGGGACCTCGCACCGTCACTTTCACAATGCGCGACGAAACTGGCTTCTACGATGCTTTGGCGAGTAAGGCGGGCATACAAAGGGAGTGGATCACTTGGCGAGACATGGATGCCATCAATGACCCCTGTGTGTGCCCGCCGACACAACCGGGTATCTGCCCGGTTGACTGCACCATGAACTACTACATGAGAAAGAACTGGCCGAAGAGAGTCAGCGACAAGGACAAGATCGAGATTGAGAACCCCAAGAGCATCATCGAGGAAGCAATTCCGTCCACCGATGTTCTTGTTGGGACAATAGTCGGTACTTACATCGAGATGCGGATGGGTGTTCTCGACGCTGATGAAGCCGACGTCCTCACTGCCTTTAGCATGCCTCTTCTCGTGATGCAAGATGCTTCCAATAGCATCAAGGAGATCAAGGAGATTGGCAAGGAACAGAAAGAGACGAAAACGCGCGAGCTTGTCCTCGGCATTCTCAGTATCGTGTTCGCTGTCATCCCTTTTGCTGGGCAAGCTGCATTGGCTCTAGGCGGTGCCACTCGCCTGGCTACCATGGCATTGATCATTGGGGAAGCAGGAAACGCCGCGATATCCATTGTCGATATTGTCAAAGATCCGAACTCGGCTCCTTTCGCCATCCTTGGCATGTTGGTTGGTGCTGCGGGCATGCGAGGTGGCAAACCACCCCGGGAGGCATTCGCAGAGGCGGGCAAGGCTCGTCGTGCTCTGACCCCGAAGATGATGGAATCATTCTCGCCCGAGTTTCGACGCAAGGATGGATTGGTGCAAAATGTTGTCAAGACCTGCAAGGTGCGGTAAATGCAAGTCGAGGTGTATGCAAACACAAATGCCCTGCATCTCAGCCCCCTGGTGACAATACCTTAGTCTGGCACATATATAGTTTCTCTAACGTGGGGTTTTTCTTTTTTCTTTTTTTTTTCTTTTTAGGTAATACTTTGTTCGCATTAGTAAAATTCATGGACTCTTCGTCTGTCTGTATAGTTGTTTCTTCATGGAGGGATCTCAAAATTCAACTTCTTTGACCAAAATGCTCAGACCGGTTTCGTGCAATAGTGTTGTCAGGTAAATCGCAGGTTGCACCAACGAACCACGAATTCTTGATATTTTGATAAAATTCCCATGCTTTCATTAACATCAGTATGCAACTCATACAATAATCAGATTTATGGAAGTGAAATGCCACGGCAGGGCGACAGCCAAAGGAAACATCACCTTTCTGCCGTCAGGCACCGCCTACCACTAACAATTTGTGGATGGGTTTTCCAACAGCGAGCTGGTAACTTCACCTGCCCCCAATCATCTTACATCAAGACAACCCCAGCTGGCTCGCTATGATTGACCTGCCGGGACAATATCTCAGCGCCGACGAGTACGCCGAAGATCTATTGGAGTTCATCAACACCCCCTTGGTTCAGCAAATTACTGGCGGTATCCATGTCAATGATGCGCTGATTTATAACGCATGGGAGGCACTGCCTCTGGAGTGGACGTCGTGGTGGTCATCACTGCCAGATCATCGTCTGGCGCAGCAAGATTTGATCGACAGCATCGATGAATCAACAGATACCACAACCACGAAAGTCAACGACAGAAAGCTAAAGCCAATTCCAGGGCGACCAGACTCACTGACAACTTGGTTGGAAAACATTCAGTCACTCTCGCTTCATCGTAACCAACGTGTCGGACCCAGGATCTCCCTTCCCGAAATCTTGACAGCTCGGATGAAGACAAAAAAGATCGATGAAGTTTCTGTTGCGACTGCCTACATCCAGGGGATTTGCCAAGCCAACAACATCACTCGCATCATCGATATGGGATCCGGGCAAGGGTACCTATCCGTATCGCTTGCCTATCTCTACCCTAATTTGCACGTATTGGCAATAGACGGCAGCGAATCTCAGATTGCTGCTTCGAGATCGTGCGCTGCCAGTCTTGGAATCGAGGACAGGATACAACACTTGCTGCGTTACATCGATGGAACTGGACCGCTGGCAGATGAGATCGCTGCTTGGGCTGGAGGAGAGAAATGCATGCTCGTCGGCCTGCATGCCTGCGGGAACTTGTCTGAGCATATGCTGAGATACTTCACAACAACACCCTTCATCGAGTGTTTAGGTGCAGTTGGCTGCTGCTACAACCACATCGTGCCCCTTTCTGACAGCTGCCCCAATGGCTTTCCGATCAGCGCAAAAATGAGGGACAGAAAGCTCACCTTGAGCGCCACAGCCCTTATGACCGGATGTCAAGCACCAAACAACTGGGAGAAGGCGGACCCGAGCAAGGAAGAGTCGGTATACTCAAAACGACGCTTTTATCGAGCGCTTCTAGAGAAGGTGTTCTTCGACAAGAGCATTGAACTCGACAAGCAAGATCGGCCGGTTTGGGGAGTGCGAAAAGGCGACATGGCCAGCTTTACAAAGTTTGCGAGCCGAGCAATGCATTGTCTAGGCATTGACAAAAGCAATATAAGCGATGCTGAATTGCTCAAATATGAGGCTCGTTATGGAGACTGCGAAGGCAAAGTAGCGATTTTGTGGACATTGAGCGTGCTTTGCTGCAAGGTTGTTGAGAGCGTAATTGCCCTTGATCGGTACTGGTTTCTCGTGGAGAATGGAGCGCATAACGTGGACATTTTACCCATCTTCGATTACAAGATTTCACCAAGAAATCTGATGCTTGTAGCTGACAAGGGGGTGAATAGTTTGGGCATCGAGTTAGTAGCCTCAGATACCCGGTTGGCTTGGTCAAGATTTTCTTCGCCACGTGAACCACCTATAGGCTATGAAGACTTTAGGTACAAGTACAAAGAGGAACATTGAACCTTGAGAATTTAGCAAACGATCTCCGCATCAAATAGACCTACTTAAATCTGCAGTCTACTGGACACTCTCTCCTTCAATCACGCCCAACCATCACCATCTTCCACACGCTCAACGCCTCAAACACATCACCAATCAGTATATATCCTTAACCTCCCTGTCCAATCATATCTGAGTAATGGCCGGCAAAGCTTCAAGAAAGTCACCTAATAAGCCTGGCAAGCCTTGCCACCAGTCAAATCCACCTACACGGAAACAGCTCACGACTTCGACTGTTCGTGATGACCCTGCTCTAGGCTACAAGTTGCGCGTCCTCTTGTTTGACTTGCGAAACCTTGCAAAGGATATCAACTCAGCGAAACGTCTCAATAGCACCATAGACGAGCACTACATCAGCGAACCGTATTTTGAACCCGAGCAAGCCAAACTTGTCAAGTCTGCTATTGTAGACGTCGAATTCAATAACCACCTCGACCCCAATGCAGAGCATGAGAAGCCAGTCACAGACGAGCCACGGCTCAACGATAAAGAAGTGGGCGGATCTGCAGTCTCTCGCGTACGAGGCCAAACGGTAGACACAGCTATTTGGATGATCATGGACAACTTCCTCGAAAAGCGAAAGAGCAGTGGAGATGCGCGCCCTTGTGGCCCCCATGATTTGGCGCCCGTATATCTTAGTCTTTTCGGCATGACAGTAGCCGACTTACAAGACCACAAATTCATAAGCCGCCTAGCGCGATCAGGGGTATGATTACATGGACGTAGCATGTTTGAGACATCCTCTTCCAGAGACAGTAGAATACTCCTAGCTATTCGGGCAAACGAGTAAGAAACAACACGAATAGAAGGGACGACAAGGACGACAAGAAAGACAAGGGAGAGAGGCACGAATACTAATGAGTAAACAAGAGCAACAAGAAGGTCGTTAAGGTATACATGCAAAAGAAAAAGCCTTGGAGGCCCGGTTGCGGCTAGAGCTCACAACCAATAGCATCATATCGTTTTGAGACAAGATGAAAGCATCCGCATTACAGCATAAATCATCATTCTTCAAAATTGTCTTGGCCGTTTCTGTGGTTTCTCCATAGTCCCTGACGAGCTCCTCCGTCGCAAGATGCCCACGCACCTTCCACTGAAGTCTACACCAGATTGGGCCACAGAGACTTATTCAAGATACTCCCACCCATAGCCTGCTTTCCTGGAGAACTTTATTCAGCCCACATGGGCAAATATCGCTCAGGCATGGATGACTCGAGCATTCCGGACCCCGCAGAAGGCGACTTCACCAAATTCAACGCGGCCATCATCGTCCTCGTAGGTCTTCTCGAGAAGGCTGGCCCCGGAGCGCTGGACAAGGCCATCGAGTCCGCCAAAAGGAAGATCCCCGACTACATGAGAAGATTCAAAATCACAAACGGCTTCAGATTCCTCGTCTTCGCCAATGATTTATTGAAGTGGCAGCCGGAGGAAGACGCGCAGAGTAAGGACATTTACGACATTCTCTGTATGTTTTACTTCATCCTCGACCAGGAGCCGCTCCTTGGACTGCAAACGCGAATCACACCGGAGTCGGTCTGTCTTCCTCAGAGTCCGCTCTCCAGTTGGATAGTGATGTTTTCGCAACTCATTGGGCAGTTCTTGGACACTCCCATGTCTGTCACCCCTCGGACTCTCGAGTCCTTCAAAAACTCGCCAAAGTACGAATACCACGAAGCCATAGAGCCTGAAGGGGGTTTCCGTACCTTCAACGACTTCTTCTCCCGCAAGCTGAAGCCGGGAATGAGGCCTATCTCCCACCCGGATGATGACAAGGTCATTTGCTACCCTGCCGACTGCACGTACGACAACAGCCTTGAGAATCAGAGCATTGTAGCCATCAACAACATGGGTGAGGTTCTCATCAAGGGCATTCCATGGACTATAGATAACCTGCTACATGGCAGCAAGTATGCGTGTGAGTTCAATGGCGGGATCTGGACGCATGCATTCCTCAACACGTACAACTATCACCGCCAGCATGCGCCTGTATCCGGTACTGTACTCGAGGCAAAGAACATCCAGGGGGCGGCCTACATGGAGGTCAACGAGAAGTGCCAACCCATCCGAAAGATCCCGGTCTCTGGTGAAGGAAAGAGCCAAGACTCCAAGTCTGTGCTGGAGGTGCCCGACTGTCCGGGCTACCAGTTCCTCCAAACTAGGGGTTGCGTCATCATCGACAACCCGGTGCTTGGGAAAGTGGCCGTGCTGCCGATTGGCATGGCCATTGTATCGGGTGTCAGGTTGACAGTAAGAGAAGGGGATACAGTGAGGAAGGGCGACGAGATCTCAACCTTCTTCTTCGGGGGGTCGGATATCATCCTCGAGTTCCAGAAGAAGGCAGGCTTGCAGGTTAAAGACTTTGTGCCCTCGCCAATGGACGAAGCCGGCAACCAGACCCATTCCAAGTATGGGACCATTCTTGCGAGGGCGCCTTAATGACTAAGAAGTATCTTGGAACGAGGAGGATGACCTATGAACGATGGTCTCATTCGAAAGACTACGCTCTCTGAGTTGGTATATGGAATGGAAAGCAACGCAGATTATCTTCATGAAACTTAATAACATTACAATTCTCCGCATGCCGCGCCTCACTTTTCCTCGTCTTGCTGCCGTGCTCGGGGGTAATCATCAATCTCACTCCCAGGGATAACCTCAATAATCCTCTGTCCGCGGCCCCTGCGCATCTCCCTAATCTCGTAGGCTCGATCTGCCCTTGTTCGGAAGCCTTGCCATCCACCTCTGCCGTGATCACGACGATGACCAGAGTGGTAACGGTGCTTTCCGACCGTAGCAGCATCACTCCTCGGATGGCTCATTCTATGCTCGCTGAAGACCGGGCTCGTGTCTCTTCCTTTCCCTGAACCACGCCTCGTCGTCCGGCTGTCGTTGTCGCTGCTTTGCTCAGAGGAAGAAGAAGGCTCTTCGTACCTCGGCTGTGGCGTCCTCCTTGATGGTCCCGATGAACCCCAACTCATCCTCCTTCTCGCACCTCCACCTCCGTCACCGTCTCCAGGCCGTCTCGGACCCCTATCACTACCGTGTCCAGGTGTATCACCAAGATACATCTGCCTGACCATCATTCGCGTATACGTAACCTCCCTCTCTGTTCTCCTTGCCATGACTCTCATGACTTCGTCTCCTAACTTCTTCACAGAATCTTTGACTTGCCACCAAATAAAGCGATGCGCAAAGTCACACTTGTACAGCGCGCTCCAGTCGGCAAAACTCCCCATCTCCCCATGCTTCTCAAAGTCGCTGCGGACCTTCTCGTCGAGGTCGTCCTCGCCCCACGAAGCTCCATTGTGGATCGCCTCGGCCCGGTGCCCGCTCGCCACCAAGAATGGTCTTTCAAGCTCCTTGAAGGTTCTCCAGAGGTCGCGGAGCGTCATGTAATGCAGCGGCAGTGTCTTCTCTGCATACTCCAGCGCCCTGCGCGCCTCGATGTTGGCGTTCTTGTCTCCAATTTGAGAGATTTTCTGCCGTATTTTACTTTTGCGCCTAATCTCTTTCGTTTGGTGACGCAGCGCCTCGCGTTCTTCGCAAAGTTGCTGTCGAAGGTTGCCCAGAGAGTCGCGGATCTCACTAGGCGCAGCGCGGATTGTGGCGACGAAGTTGGCGTACAAAGCGATCAAGTTGAGCGTCGTCAGGGCAAAGCCCAGGATCCCTGTCACGAATGACAGCCAGTTCAGCGAGTTCGGGACGTCGGCCGTCATGTTGTGCTCGCGAGGGCTTCTGCGACTTCTTCTTTCATACTCGCGACTTTTTTAAGCTGAAGGGCCGTGCTTAGATCTTAAAAGGGTTGAGCATCCTTCAATTGGTATTCCTGTGTAAGTCTTTCACGTGGTGTTTAGCGTCTCTCATCAGCGCTACTTGGACTTGTTTCGAACGAGGGCAGAAAAAGGCGTAGCGTTGCCAGTTGTCATGGACCTTCATACTCCCGAAGACTAAGACAACTAACGTCCTGCAGCCTTGGAGTTGGTTGTGTAGTCGATGTGAGCTCTAGTCCTATAGCCGATGCAGGATAACATTAGCACCGGAGGGACTAAGGAATTAGTCGCGTCAACTCGAGTAACATACAACAATGATTCGACGACCTAGATGGTTCGTCAAATATTGCAAGGATAGGCTTGCAAGATCCATCTCAACTAAAGGCCAGCTGATGGTGTTGCATCTTTCGTGGATACGACGGATGCAGGAGTTTACTTCGTCTTCGTCATTTAAGCTCACAAAGACCTGCGGGATAAGGCACCAATGTGATTATGCAATCCTTCGAGCGGCTTGGGAGGAACTGAGATCTTAGTGCTGAGTCGCCTTGAATCTGGTGATGGATGACGATCACGAAAGTCGTCGCATATTGAGGCTTCTCGAGTACAGGAGAGGTCGGATAGTAGAAGAGACGCATCAGCTGCCTGGGCCCTTTTGAGGGTGTATCAATCACTCGTGCAGACTGTTCCCTGAATTCGCTGACAAATTGACAGCTCGCAAAGAGCGTGGAAGAATGACAACTTCGTGAACACCATCTTGAAGTTGTGTTGCTCGACGTTGTGATGCTGGACGAATGACACCGCAACACCCGCGGCCCTGGAAGCAACAGGAGATGGAGCTCGTCCCCCACCACCCGCCCAGACCAGGATTAGCTCCAGTACTCTTATCGATAAGCCCTGACGTCTCCGACCGTGGGGTAACTCATTCTCTCTCCAATCCAAAAATTTCCCATAGCCAAACCTCCAAGTCTGACTATACATCGCGACGAAGGGAGTCACACCTCCCACCCAGCACCACCCGCAAAAATGCCCGCCCCAACAGCGACAATGTCCCCCGGGACGCCCGAGCCCATCGACGCCGACGCCGACCCCGTCATCGCCTCCTACGACGTCTTCTTCAACCCTTCCCTCCCGCAGGGCCGCAAGCTCTGGGTCCTGCAGCAACCCAACCGCACCGACCCGCGCCAGGCCACGCCCACCGAGATGCGCCTCAAGACCCGCTCCGGCATGGTCGAGGTCGACGTGCCTCTCGACTACACCCAGTCCTATGACAAGGAGAAGGGTATGAAGTGGGGTCGGCAGCTCAAAGCGAGTCTCGAGGCCAAGAACGGCGGCACACACGGTCTCTCTGGAGGCTTCGGCGTCGGCGCGCCGCCGCCCCGACCCAAGAGGCGCGGCGAGATCGATTTGGAGGACGAGATGTACCTCGAGTGGCCCGAAGCTGTGCGCCAGGACAAGGTGCTGCGTACGCAGACTCTGGGTGGACAGTGTCCCGATCACAAGGAGGTGCAGTACATGATTGGCGTCTTCCAGGGCAGTAAGTGCTTTCCTCTCCCAATTCGGATGAAGAGATCCTGACGGAAGGAATAGAGGACCTCCACCTCACACCCGTAACAAACCTCGTTCACCTCCGGCCCCAACTGCACCACGTCGACGCAGTAGCCCAACAAGAGCGCAACGCCTCCGCCGCAGCTGCCGCCAAGGAGAACGGCGCCGCAGCACCGGCGGCGGGAGCATCGGGCGCAGGAGGCCAGGGCGGTGCGGCAGCGCGCGCGATTCACATGACGATCAAGACGACCCCCGACGGCGCAGCGGCCAAGAACGAGACAATGGCCGACCGTCTGCGCTCGGTCCAGATCGAGCCCTGGCGCAAGCTGAAGTACACGGACGAGAACGACGAGGCCGCCTGGGAGATTTACCAGGAGTCCCTCATTCTCCGCGCCCCTGGCGACAACAAGCCGCCCCCGGCCGAAGAGGATGAGGAAAAGAAGAAGGCCGCTATCGAGGCGGGTGAGGCTGAGACGAAGCCCACGGTTGACCTGGCGGAGTCTATGGCTAGACTGGAGACCACATGGGGCGACGATGAACTGCTGGAAGCTGTCAGTGGTATCAAGAAGCCCAAGCCGGTATCACAGGCAGAGCAGGATGCCGAGGCGGCTGCCGCGGCCGCCGCAGAGGAAGAGGCACAAAAGACAAAACCCAAGGCTCGTGGCGCTGTCGGTTCAAGACGAGGTGGCAAGGCTAGAGCTGCGCCTGCTCAGGCATCATCGAGCATGAGCATGGATTTGACATGAAGTGATGCTGACCAGCATAGCATTTTGATTTGCATAGCTTAGGCGTTGCGGTACGTTGTAGACAAAACGGTTCAGGGACGGATTATTACTTTAAATGCAGATTTTGTTTGCTCTAACTAGCAAGGCTGGTCTCGACGCACCGCTAATAATACTTTCGCGGCGTCATCTCATAGAGTCGTGTGTAATGTACACGAGATATGTTTTGTGCATATAGCCGTGGGATAGCCCCCCCGCAAGTCCAAGTCTCCATCAAGCTGTAGCCCCCGTACCACAACTTCCCGGTGATCTCGATGCCCTCAAAAAATACGGGCCAAGCGTCGAGTAAGGCTGACAGCATCCCAAGCTTCCAACGCATCAATAAACAAGTGTAGCGTCCCAAGCATGTGTGATGGCGCAGTCCGCGCCGTGATCGTCCCATCATTCGCACTAAATATCGTCTTACTGAAGCAATTCAACATCCAAACCAATGGAGTGCATAAACAGGTTAACCGTAGCCAACCGGGTCGTTGCCATGGCGCCTGGAAGGGTCTTCGCGTGGGCAACAGTGTCGAGAACACGATCCTTGACAGCAAGAACCAGGCGCTGCTGCTGCTCAGGGTTGGCACTGACACCCACGGCAGCAAGAAGCTGCCAGACGACAACATCCTCTCCGGTGTTGACGCTGCCAGGGAAGATATGATGCAGGGTCGGCTCCAGGATGTTGAAGAAGAGATTGAAGGTTTGCTCCCTATGAGTGTGTTAGTTGATGTTATCATTTTCGATCTGGATGTGCTTACCATTCGGCCCAAAGCTGAGGGGTGCCGCCACCGCCTTGCTTGAGAAGCTCTGCACGACTCAGAATGAGAGTCAACATTGAGCAGCCCACGCGGGTTCTGGCAATGAGATCGATGTTCAGCTTGGTAATCAGTCCGAGGACACCTGTGACGATATCGAGCTCGGTCTCGTTGAAGTAGGCAAAGAGGCTGGGCATGACAGCCGCGGAGAAGAGTTCGATGCTCTCACGCATGGCAGCGTTAAGGTTGACTTCACCATCCGTCATCTGGGCACCGCGAACAACATCCAGCTGATCCAAGTGGAGGATAACCATCGTGAGAATAGTGGTGCGCTGCTCGAAGCTGATGTGTCGGAAGACACGAGGAATGGCCTTCTTACCCTTGGGGAACGACAGGAAGGCGATGAAGGGGTGAATGGTGGTAGCACCAATAGGCTCGTGAACCTTGAGGTCTGCCCACAGCTGGCCGTTGAGAGTCTGAGCCACCTCGAGCCACTCCTGATGCTTCGCGTGAAATTCCTCGTCGTTGCCATTGGTGGGCGGGGGAGGAATGTGGCGGGCATGGTCCTCCATCTTCATGACTGTGGTGTAAACACTCTCAATGTTCTTCAAGATGGCCTTGCGGTCCACAGTGTTGGACTCCGTGTGGTGACGCTTGCCGTTTCCAGGACGCTGGGCGTCACCACTGCTATCGGTGCGCTTGATGTTGAGCAGTGGCTTAGGTGTCTTGGCGTTGCTGAAGGAGATCTTTCCGAGACTGCCAGCAATGACAAGCTGGGGATTCTTGGGCTTGTTCTTGGCGGCTTCAACGGCACGCTGGACTTGCTGCTCCATGCGTTGCACGTGGTTCTCGGCAGTTCTTCCTTGTCTTCTCATGTTGCCCTGACGACTTCCAGTCTGGAAGAGGTAGGTCTGAGCAAAGTTGTTCAGGGGCTGGTTAGGGTTCTGGCGTTGGCCACCGCGAATCTGGCTAAGAACCTGGTAGTAAAAGTCCTCTGCGATTGAGGCTTCGTTGTTGTGGTCAATCGGGTTGCCGGTGGCCGAGACAAGCTGCTGCAGCTGGATACGGGTAACAAAGTTCTTGTCCTGAGGAGTCATGAGACCGTTGTCCTTAGAAAGAAGCCAGATCTTGTGGTTGCGCTTCGCACGCTTGGTCTCCTGATCCAGGTACGCCGCCTTCTCATCTTCGGAGAGGTGGTTCAGGTGCTGCTGTTGAGAGACCTGAGGTACACGACCTGACGAACCCTGTGATCGGTGTGCATTCTGACCGTGAGCCTGTTGATGGCCATGAGGCTGAGGGCCGTGGGCACCAATGCGAGCAGCATCACCAGACAGTCGGTTAGGGTTTTGGAGAATCTGAGTCGGCTGGACAGAGGGAGCCTGGGAGTGAGGAGGCTGAGCAAGCGGGCTAGGGGTGTTTTGAATGGGCGGGGTCGGCTTGGAAGTAAGAGACTGAGGACGCTGAAGAATGGTAACCGGATGGCCCTGACCAGCGTGTTGAGGCACCTGGATGCCACGCTGCTGTTGCTGCTGGTCGGAACCGTGGAAGCTCTGCTGCTGCTGAATAGCCTGCGGGTGGGCGTAGCCGTAATCCTGGGGGTATCCTTGTGTAGCAGGGGCAGGTTCCTGGGCTGGTCGCTTGGTGGCTTGCTCGCGCATAGCCTTTTCGACCTCCTCGAGACTCATGATCTTGCGGCTACTGGAGGCAGATGCGGCCTGGGGTTGGGGAGAAGGCGCGGCGGCGGGTTTCTTGGAAGGCACGCCCCAGATAGACGCGTCGACGTGAAGGTCGGGGATGGGCTCCGCCTCCTTGTACTTCTCGTAGCCAGTGCGAACAGGCTGAGGGGCCGGCTGAGGAGGATAGTAGTAGTTCGGCATGGCCT